TCGCAATCATAAACCGCACTCAACAGGGAGAATTTAAGTTACCATTATCAGTTACCATTAACACTTACCAAACTTAATTATCAAAAATCAATTACCAAAAATCAATTAACAAACTATGAGTTCACACCACCTACGTGTACGCAAGACTATATGTCAGTATGTATTAACCTTTAACCATTTTATGTAGGATCCACGGTCTTCACTCTGGTCCATGGAGCTCTTTAACCTCTCACTCACCGGGCTCAGTGAGGGAGGTCAGGGGAATGGATTCCCAGGGGGCATGGGATTGTATCAATTCATAGCCAGGGGGCTGAGGATGTCTATTATCAATGGCAGTGGCGATGCACTTGAGACAGAGATGTCTACTGCAGGGAATACATCCGCATCCACACAAGATCAGCAGTGTGACTGCTGCCACCAAAGATATAAGTGCAGAGATCACTAAATTTCTCCACTTGCCAAAAGTATTGGTAAACCAATCTTCAATGTAATTGGCAATACCAGAGTGTTCGGCCATCTCTTCTGACAAGACTTTTAAGCCAGCCAGAGCCCTAGCAATGTCTAAAGCCAGTCTGTTCTGGTATGACATAATAGATGTAGCTGCCAATTGTTCCTGAAAGCCAAAAGCCAAATCTCTAGTGAAGTTAGTGAGACGCTGAACATTGAAATGGACATAGTTTATGCGATCTACATTTTTGTTTATGGTCACCCACCAGAAGAGAGCAGACTCAAAGCCTGCTGCCACTTGATCAACTAACTTGGGACGCCGCGGGGAACACCAATTGCATCAATATACATGGGCGATAATCTAGCTGGATCAAATAAGGCATCCCGCTTTAACCGGTGTCCCTTGAAAGGATGACCAGAGAAATCATAGTGCAGGTACCAGACCAATCAGGAGGAAGAGTATTAAGTAATCTATTACTACCACAGTACCAAAACACATCAGACCTGGCATAGGTCAGACGTGTAGCATTAGCCCATGTAGTAAGATTGAATGTGGTGTCACACCAATCAGGAGAGATGGTACCTACATTAGTTTCAGTAGCATTAGCCTTAGTTACATGAGTGTAGCTGTTTTTGACTGCAGTAAAAATAGGAGGTACTGCATCTTTAGGTGCCAATGGGTAATAAAGTTCCAATTCTCTGCATGCAGGTGTTTTTAGATTTTCAGTCATGTGCAGCTCAAGCATGCAGTGTGTGGGTTTTGCATCTGAGAGGAGAGAAGGAACGGTTAACAGAGCAGGACGAGGTCCAGCACATACAACACGGGAAGTGTTAACTGACACCTCCTCTGCTGCATAAAACTACAGTGCTCATTTTACTGAAGGAGCACCCAGTGCAGTGATGAGGTTCACTGATGTAGTCTTTTAATACTTTTTTGGAAACAATGGAAATTTAAGGCCTGGAGGAATAATCTACAGCATATCAGGCTTTGGCTACTCAGACAATATTTGTTACAGTTTTAGGATCAATTAATTGAATTGAAAGAGAGTAAGAAAAAATTGAATCTCTCCAAAGCTTTATCCTTTCAGAAATGTTTTATGGGAAATTTCAGCATGCTGGAATCTCCAGTCATCATCTCTACTGCTGGAACACAAATAAGAGGGGCTGCATTATTCTGATGTGTTGGCCTCATTGACTTAGGGAATCTGAAACATATTGCATTTTTAGACCATATGTCATGAAGAAAGCACATTTGGCTGGTTCTACCCATTTCTCCATTTCTCCTGAGAGGGAGTGTTTGTAATATGTTGGACAACCCACCACGCTGTATCTGAGTCACTCTGAGAGTGTGAAGCTTGGCCAGCAGTCTGCAGCCACACAGAGATGTATGGTTACTGCACAGCAGCACTGACAAAGGTGGCCATTTGTATTAGCGCTCTCAGTTACAGCAGTCAGATCAGGTTTCAGTGCTTTATAAGTAGCTTCACCTTCACAATTTCTAAGAGGCTGGATTCAAGCACAAAACTGCTCCACTATGTTTGTACATGCCTGCTACATTATTCAGTCAGTCATCACCTGAGAGGACCTGTGAAGGGTTGTATGGAATGGACACACTTACAGCAATGGTTTCTCATACTGTAATTCGGGCTGTCATTTCTCACTGTTGTGTTTCCTGCCACAACAGACACAAGGCAGTTTATAAAAAGAGTGTTTGTCCTCATCTGGGTGGTAGTAGTATATACAATACCCAAGTTTAAATGCAAAAGTCAGATATTGCATAGATTTCTGAGGCCTCCTGAATAAAAAAAAAAGGCTTTCATGACATGATAACAAACCTTTTCCCACCAGAGATTTTCACATATGCCTAAGTGGCTGCATGTGTGTGCATGACTAATCTTATAGCATCAGATTATGTGATCCTGATCAGACTTTGCCAATTCTGACCATGTTGTCCAGTTAAAGTTTCAGAAAAAAAAAATCTAAAAAATACTGCATGTAGCTACATCACAGTAATGCAGCAAGAAGGACAGAAATACAAGATGACTTGGTGTCTTCAGAGCTTCCTTTAGGTGACGCTGACTTGTGGAGTGTCAGAGAGGGCAGAGGGGTAAGCCCTGTTTTGTTATCTGGTCCCCGCTCCAGTATGATCTCTGCCATTGGGTCAGTGTGCTACACGTCTCATATAACTGACTTGTAGTCAGGATGCGGTTGCCATGGAACATGTCCAGCTGGAGCAAATGAAATTCCTCCATTTTACTTTCCAGGCAGGATTCACATGTTGAGAATGTTTTGGTGGAACCCTGCATGCATGTATGTGATCTGTGTGTATGCATGTATGTGATCTGTGTGTGTGCACATTCATAAACAGAATGAGATATCAAAAGGGAGAATGGGCTTTTGAGGTTACAGAGGAAATAGGCCATGTGATTGTGCAGCCATGTGCGTTTGTGCACGCTTGTGTGCACGGATGTGTGCACACACTTTTGCAAGCATGTGTGGCTGTGCATGCAGTGCTCTTCAGAAACAGCTTTCTGATGTAACAAAAACTGATGCCCACCTGCTCTCTTCCAGGCTTCTCAGGCATTGATGGGAACTTGCTCAGTGCAACCACAAGTCAATGACAGTGTTGTTTATCATTAGAGAGAGATAAAAAGACATTACCAGATATTTGTCAGGCATCTTATCTGTTAATATATCCTCATTTCAGTGAGAGTTTGGTCTAAATGAGATGTACAAATCTGATTTGCAGATGTGAACTTAAAAGCCATATTCCAAATAGACAAGACTTGATTAGTTAAGTCAATAATGTGGCAAATTTAAAATTTATGTTCCTAGATATAGTAAGAGCTGCTGTGAATTTATCTATATTAATTTTTTATGCTATAGAGATCTGTCTTTCTGCCCCACTGAGAGTTGAAGCAACTCTCAGTGGGGCAGTGGGGCTACTCTCAAACACTAATGCATGTTAATGAATAACTTAGGTTTGTTTTCTTAAGATATGGACTGTCATCAATACTTTAGGCTTTTCATTAATATTTTATTTCAGGACTTTTGAATAGTAAATCAGACAAAGGCTTAGAAACAAATTAAAAGGATGCCTGTCTTGTGCATACAGCATCTCCTTTTTCATAGCTAATATTACAATGTACTGTAACACTCTGGGATTCTGTAGTACTCCGTAGTAATTACAGGTGTTTTCTTGATTGTCTCTTAAGTTGTTTTGCATGACTTCTAATAGAAGCTGCAACCAATGCTTCCACATCTTTGAGCCTTTTGTTGTTTATAGTGGTCATTCACATAAGAAGTGATTGCATTTCCAATATCACAGCGAGTGAGGAAACCAATCTCTTCTTCCTCAGTGCATCCCTACCTATTTGAATGGGCGCAGGTGGGACAAAGTCCAAGATTATGCTCTGTCCAATTTGGGCAGCACGGAGGAAGCAGGGACCCATGACTTTTCTAAGACATGGGGAGAGAAAGAGGAGCTGGGGGCAGGGTGACTCTCTGTTAGAGATTGCAGAGTTTGGCCTCAGCTCCAACTGTCTGAGGGCTTATTGATCAGTGATAACCCCTGAGGGGAGAGAGCAGAGCACCTGCTCTGCCTTTCATAACAACAGGCCTGCTACAATCAATCCAGTGTGGACATGGGTAACTGTCAAGATGTGTTCACTGTAAATACACCAGAAGTAGAAAGTAGAGGGAATGTTTGTATAACTAAAGTGAAAAATATCTGTAGCTTTTTATTTTATTGAAAATGAAAATTACCCTCTGTAGATCCAATTAAGACCTGTTTAGATCTTCATCATATGCACATGTAGTAGACTGTGTATTGGTGTTGTAAAGTTACCAGTATCTGTATGTTTCTAAATGTCAGTCACTCTACCAGACTTGCTTCACCCAATTTACTGAATGGGTAAACAGTAAACAATGGTAATGAACAAGCCTGATGAGACTACATTGCAAACGCGTTTCTTCCATATTTGAAGTAATTTACAAATATTAATAGAAGATGACCTAGACCTAGTTTACCCGGTGTATATAAAATGTCAGGACTGTTCCTCAGTAAACTGTTTGTTGATTTAACAAGAACATACTTTGTCTGCTGAAACACCATAAAGGCTGTAGGCCAGGACATGAACGTTTTCATTTATAATCCAAGGCTATATTCTGCAAACTCATGTCATAGAGAGCAATTGAGCAGGCCCGTGTGGGATAACCAATGGCCACAGAGTAGCTTCGCATAGCCTCGACCTTTATATTTTCCTCTTTAAACGTAAAGCATGGTCATAGTAGACTCGTGGTGACAGACGCTGGTAACATCATTCTGACCCGATGAACACAGTAGTAGCGTGACAACGGTCTCGTGCTACAGGGAATTTCCCACCCACGTGTCTGAATACATGGTCAAGAAGCGAGGGAAAACAAACGCGTCTATTGGCTGAAGCAAATCATGTTTAAAGGGACATGCGCTGCCTATGTTGAGGTGAAGTACAGTTGGCCGACAGAAATACTTGCGTCTTTAAGGGGTTTGATTAGTAGCCTTCAGCACCACACCCCGGCGGCGGAGTTAGTTATTATCCGACATGAAATCGGGTTGTTACAGTTTTCTTCACAGAATGGAAGTAGACGTGGAGGTGTTACGGACTAAACTTCCTTGACTTTCCAGGATATTGAGTTGTATACCGTTTTGTTCTAAGTACAAGACAGCTGTAACAGCGAAGGGAATCTCTGTGGTAAGTTCCGCAAAACAACAGTAAAAGGTCTTATTCAGTTACACTTCACCAGCTAGTCGGCGTGGGCTGTAACATCTGCGTCCTTTGGGAGGAACAACAAACAACGTGTAGGTGTCATCGTTGAAACAGCTGCAACAATTTTGTTTCGACATTTGTTGTGTACATTACTGCACCGAAACCTCAAAGCAGTCCAGCTAGAATCGGTATTTAGTTTAATTCGAGCTGTCATTCATACAACATAGATTTGAATAGCACCGGCTTTCCCGGTTTACACAGCTCACCTGGTGAATGGACTTCAAACGTGCTTTTTTCACGGCAAGCCTGTCGCTGTCCTGTTTCAGTCCTATATTAAATGCAATGAAATCAGTTTTATCCAAAGATTAGAGTAATTAACACGCGAAAACGGGAAATTTCAGACGTCTTTTCCAAATATGTTAGTTTGATTTGCAACATTGCACATGTTTTTTTCCCTCATCTGTCAGTAAATGGGTTTTGATATAACTTGGGTTCAGAACATTTTCACAGTGCTTTTGGATAAATAGTGGGCTACAACTGTGGTCGCTTTGAGCTTGAGGAGGTCATTTTAGGTCTTGATGTGCACAGTGTTACAGAAAGTGTAACTGGTGTGATGTGCCTTTGGAGAGAAACTGTGTCAATAACGGACTTGCCTCACCACCCCCATCTCTCCCTCCGTCCCTTTTGTTAGGGTTGTTGTTTTTGCAGCAGGGGGAGCCACTGGCTGACACAAACACAGCTGGCTGCATGGCCAGCAGAGCAGAAAGCAGCTTGGTATATCTGAAAGTTGAGCCTAGGTTTTTTTCTGACCCTTCCATGTTCTTGCTCTTTGTTACAACAAAGCATTAAGTGGTTTTATGCACAGGGTTTATTGTGAATGCACACAGTAGTGAGGTCTGGGTAGAGACTGGCCATTCTGCTTATGTTTAGTGAAGAAATGAAAACTGCTTCTCAGAGAGTTGGCATGCTGACAGACCAGGGCAGGGAGAGTGGCTTAGGAGTTTACTTAAAGACTGTCATTACCCTGTTGCTGTGGACCCTAATTTGGAAGTGTGGTAGTAATCTAACCCTGTATTACAACTTGATTCTGACTTGGGGTTTTGCTGGTGAGGCAACTTGAATTTCCCCATATTTTGATAAATCTTTTAGCTACTCTTTGTTTCAGGGTTCAGTGGAGTGCATCCCTGACACCAAAGAGATTCACAAATGCAAAATTTAGTGGTAGGGTTTCTTTCATTAATTATAATCAGGGATTTTTATTATTCTTGTCATTAGGTTTACATACTGTATATATGTGCACGATACTTAAAAAAATGTTATATGAAAGTACCCAGTGTAAGTTGGTATTAATGGGGCAGCCAAGCTCATGTCCACAGCAGCGGTGCTTAACACAGATAGGACATAATCTGCCATTCATTTAACCCAGTCAGCCAATTTTTATACATGTTGCTCTGAGTCTCCTAACCACAGTGAACTGAGTTGTTTAATTGCTGAGCCCTTTGTCTAAATAAGCACTGAGCTCTTTGCCTCATGTGAAGGCTGCTCACTAGAAGCTTGCTCATTCTCTTTCCCCCAACTTGCCCATTGCCCACTGTGGTTTTATTGATTTGAGGGCATTCATTACAAACCAGACAGGTTGTCTATAATGGTAATGAATGCTTTGGAGAAATGAACCAATAATGAATGTGTCTGAGATCATCTCATCAGACCTAATGCAGATATGTCCAAGGTTAGCATCATTAGTGAAAGATGCCTGTGATTTATCTATTCACTGGAAGGCAGTGTATTCAGCTGTTGTAATAACCTTTGTCTTTGTCCTATTACTTTTAAGGCTCCTAATCTCATAGTGTCCCCCGCATGGACGATGAGGAGGATGATGTGTTTGAGCCAGACCCCCACTGCTGGCGTACTGCATTCAGGGAGATAAAGTGTGAAGACCGGGGCACACAGACAGCTGGCCCTACCCTGGCACCGAACAACAGTATGCTGCCCTGTGGAGTTGCAGAGGATCCCAGACCACTCTTCTATGGTGAGACCGGTGACGGTGCCATGTCCGTGATAACCAGTGTTGTAAAACTGAGGCATGAGACTATAATGTTGTGAGAAATGGCTAACCGTGTTGCTGTACTGATCTCACCCCTGGCGCCTGATAGTCGTGATCACAGCAGCTTTTATGGTGTGCATGGAGTGTATCCAGCTGCTTTGCTATTCAGTAACAACTGACTGACCTCATATCTGTGTCAAATGAGTTTGTGGTGCTTGATTGTTTTATGGAACTCTTAAATGTTAAAGTTGAGCAGACTGTCTGATCAAAGGCATGTTCAGAAATACGTGGTTGCTCATCCTACCTGTTGTGCCATCAGCATAGACATAATCCCTGCAAAGAAATGCCAGTCAGCAGCCATTGTTGTACTTAGATTGTTATACTGTGCACTTGTGTTGTTTACAAAATAATAAATATCAGCCTTGACACTCAACAGGCAACGCAGGTTTTCGATTGCACTTCCCAGCACACTTTGAGCTTGTTGGGGATCAGGAAGCGAGGCGACAAGAGGATCAAAACGGGATGGAGCATCTACCCCGGCAGCAACGTGTGGCGCGCAGTGTGGAGGCCTGTATTGGCCAGAAACTCCAGCTGATAGGAGATCAGTTTCATCGAGAACACCTACAGCTGGTGAGAAGGAAAAATGACTTTGGCTTCTAGTTTGATAGCACTTAACAAGTGTTGCCCACTAAATACCCCCAAGCAGTGACAGTGACAGAATCTCCTTTTAGAGCCCTACATTAAGTCTTGTGTGTAGACAATCCTGGTGTAGGTGTGTTATAAATATTCCTCTGACAGTCTTCAGATTTGACTAATCGATTGCTACCAGTAAATGCCACCAGACAAACAAATCTCTTTCCTGTTATTTAGATAGTTTGTAGATAGAACAGTCAAGCTGAGCTAACAAAACAAAATGCAGTTAAGCCAGGGGGACACACAGTTCTACAAATCAAACATTCACTGTAATATTATATTGACAACAACAAGCTGTATGCTCTGGTAGATGTCATTAGTTTGTTGTGGACTAGAGGCTAATGGGTCTCTGATAAACTGAAACTTCATCAATCTAGAGGCCAGTGTGTTGGTGTGCATCTCTTTTTTTTTTTTTTTTTTTGCAATTGTTTGTAATTGTGTGTGTTTATAAAGTCAGCAGCAAAAAAAGTGCAGTTCAAACATTAGCAACCCCATCTACGCACTTTGTTGTTGTTTGTTTTAATATTTGGATCTGGTGTTGTTCTGGCAGATATTTACGATGGGTCAAAAGTTTGTTCTCTTTTATTGTGTTTTCTCCATATTTGCTTTGGAGAGGCTCTGTTCATGCAAAATCTCAGCCCAGTACACCCCCCTGCCCCCAAAGCAAAAGGCTGTATCAGGACAGCCCTTCCCCCACCTCGCCAACACCAGGCCTTCCCTCTGTCTCCTCTTCCTGTTTATTTCTCTGTCTTTGCTCCCTCTCTCTCTTTTCTCCTGTTCCTTCAGTATGCTGTGGAGACAAGTGCCGTGGACGATGCCTGGCACCCTGACCACTAGTCTGGCCATGGTGACTCTATCCACCGAGTTGGTGCACTGCATGATGGTGCTTCTTTATAAGTGTAAAACCATGACACACTATTGTTTCATCAGCTGCGCTATCAAAAATATACATAAATCCTCAGGAGATTTGCTTCAGTGTCTCTTTTTGCTCATTTAAACACACTCATTATGATAAGTTCAGGAAAATGCAGAAGTGGTGAGAGTAGGTAAACATGTTGTAACCAGAAGCTCAGCACGTGAGCCCAGAGGGGAGTAGCTGTGCTTCCAGGGAGTCTCTAGTCAGCCCCTTCCCTCAGTTGAAGAGTGGCCACAGGAGGCAACCAAATAAGAGGTCTATGCAGCTGTAAGCAGTGGAGGGGGTAGCTGTAATGATGGTATAGGCATGTATATGAGGAAATGAGGTTTGGAAATGAAGCCCAAATGTTCAAGTAACAGCCGTCTTCAGCAGTCTTAAAACCTACCTTTACAAATCAAGTTGCACGTAATAGAATTTTTTTAAATTTCATACTGTGAAGTGTGTGACAGTTTCTGATTTTCTCATGCCCTTATCAAACTGAAGTTATATATACTCCTGCAGCACAGCATGACTCATGTATTGTGACAGTGGCAGCCTCATACAGACAACCAGACAGGAGGGTTGCTGTGTGTGTATGTGTGTGGCTAGGATCTAATGACGCACAACGGAGTCAGGGGATGAGGAAGTGGCTTGTGCTCCTTTTGCTGGTTTGAGTAAACAGTCGAGTGGACAGTCAGAGTGAGAACGGCCCTGTGAAGTCACATCCTGAAGAGATGCATGCTGTGCAACTGAACCACTGATACAAAGAATCTTATTTTTGCCTTGATCATGAAGAGTAAGGAAATTTGTTAAGCACACTTGCACAGAGGCCACTGTGGCACTTGTCACTACTACATTTCTTCCAGAGAGATTTTCTTTTTTCTTCTTCTTCTTCTTCCTTTTTTTTTTTTTTTTTTTTTTTTAAACACAAACACACTGACGTGCAGTTTTGGATGTGTGATCTCACTACACCCTCTGTAATTACTATTTCTGACTCTGGTTGTGCGATTAATTGTGTTGTGCGTGCGTGCATGTGTACATGCTCATGCATGAATACACCCATACTTGTTTTTCTGCTTTTTGCTGTGTCTCACTTCTCGCTATCACACGGTCTGACAGTCACTAGAAACACTCTCACTTTATAATAGTTATTTTCATCAGTTCTCATGCCTGTCTGCTCCTGTAAGTAGGTGATTGCAGCTATGTAGTGCAGACACTTGTCACTTAGCAATCAAAATGCCTTTGACTGCCATCTGCTTGATGGATATGGGAGCAATGTGGCTGTGAGTGTTCTCCATCGGAGCCCGTGGCCCCTGGCGAAAGGGGGGATTAGGTAGCGAAGGAGTGCTGGTGGATGCTGACAGATAAATTGCTCCTCAGTCAGAGAGGGCTGGAGGGGACTCCGAGGTCCCCAGAGGATGGCTGACATTAGCTGGCCCGCCATTTGAGACACAGCAATAATGACAGTCACAATGGCACGAAAGACTGCTTCAGCCTGTGCAGGGCAAGGAGCAGAGTTAGGTTTCATCCCCATGTTTTTTTAAGAGAGATGACTCCCGGTGCTTTCGATAGGAGGTGTTGAAAGCAGGGTTGAATATCGCCTGTGTGTGTTGCTGTCTGAGTGTGTGTGTGTGTGTGTCAGTACTCTCACACAGTGTTTGTGGCTTTATCTCTCCACTGTTTCAGCTAAGGGCATGGCACTCTCTCCTTTCAGCACTTGCAGAGGGGGGAGGAGTGGAGTTGCTCTGGAAATAAAAGCATGTGAGGCCTGGCTTTAAGTATTTATTGTTCATTGTTTTGTGATAATTTTTGTTGATGGGATTTCCATTCATACTGTTTTTGATTGACACTGATGTTGCCGTTTGTATATTTTCCTGGCTCCTTGTCTCCTCCCTGATGTGGCCAGTCTACAGTTTCTTGCTATTGAGGCCTGTTTGCTCAAGATATATGGCAGAGGCTCTGAACAGCTGGCTTGACAGTCAGCCCACACGGGACACTGATAAAACACATCAGGCCTAGTGTCAGAGTGACGACACAGAGCATCTGGGTAGACTCTGCTGCGCTATCGCTGGCTAAATTTAGAGCCTGTGTCTCGTTTAGTTAGTGGCATGACTCATGACTACGTTGTGACAGGCCTGTGGACACCTCTTTTTCTCATTCTCTTTCTGTCTGTTTGTCTTGATGACTCTCTCAGCTTGATCAAGTGCAGGGCAAAAGGTCAGTGCCACAGAAACATTGTTTTTGTTTCTAAAGATCAGTTGCTTGTCATGCAGCTGGTAGTAAACAAGAGCTTTGTGTCATGACAAAACCCTCAGTTGACTAATTTCACTCCTGCTGTATTTACAATCTAATGTTGAAACTCTAAGCACCCTTAGATATTATGCATATTGACATACAATATATGTATACATATGCATTCTGTCTGCCTTTTGTTTGACCCCAGTGTTACAACTTGCTGTAGTCTCATGTAATTTAGTTTTAAATTTCAAAGACGTAAGGCATGCCTGTGTTTACAAAACTGAGCCATCCTGGCTGCCAGCAGCACCTCACATATGTGTCATGGTGAGCTCATCCACTCTGTGCTGCATATTAATATTGCTTATGTTTATATGAAGGAGGCATTGTGCTGTTATGTCCTTATCAGAATATCCCCAGGCAAGATTTAGATACTGTATGTTATCTAACGGAGAACTGGTTTTGTCAAGATTCCCAGCAGTCTTTGCCTGGTTGTTTTTACCTCTCCATTTTTCTTTTGAACACTTATCAAGAAAGAGTAAGTGCACATGCTGGTTAGACTATGGAAAAGCTTATGCAGAATGCTGAAATATTCACCAGAAATTGATAAGAGTATAGAAATCCTGATGCTTATCACAGTAGCAGTTCTTGGCTGGTAACTAGGTCAGAATCAGAATCAGCTTTATTGGCCAGGTGTGACGGACACACGAGGAATTTGACTCGGGTGCATCGGCTCTTAATGTGCAAACAGTAAACCAGCATAAGGCTGTGTAATATAACAAAATAGCAGTATTAACATCAACAAACAGTGCAAACAATGCAGAAAAAGCAGTATAAATAGACAGTAAACAATGCAGACAAGAAAGGAATGTTCATTGAAATGAGATAAATAGGGATAAAACAGAGAACTTAAGAACTAGAGACCTGTACGAGTCTGTATAATCTGTACGAGGTATATTTACAGGTATTGCACTGAGGGTTATTGTCCAGTCATACTGTTGTGGGTTAAGTGTTCATCAGAGCGACAGCCTGGAGGGAAGAAACTGTCCCTGTGTCTGGTTGTCTTAGTGCACAGTGACCTGTAACGCCGTCCAGAGGGGAGAAGTTCAAACAGATTGCATCCCAGGTGTGAGGGGTCTGCGGTGATTCTCTCCGCCCTCCTTTTTACCCGTGAGGTGTACAGGTCCTCCATGGACGGCAGGCTCACACCAATGATCTTTTCTGCAGTCCTGACTGTCCGCTGAAGTCCGTACTTCTCCTGTTTGGTTGCTGAGCCAAACCAGACAGTGATGGAGGTGCAGAGAACAGACTCGATGATTTCTCCATAGAACTGTATCAGCAGCTCCTGGGGCAGGTCGAACTTCCTTCAGCTGGCACAGGAAGTACATCCTCTGCTGTGCCTTCTTGGTGATGGTCCTGATGTTGGACGTCCACTTCAGATCCTGGGAGATAGTGGAGCCCAGGAACTTTTAGGACTTTACTGCTGATACAGTGCTGCCAAGTATGGTAAGTGGGGGCAAGGTGGGAGGGGTTCTTCCTGACGTCCACTGTCATCTCCACAGTTTTGAGTGTGTTCAGCTCCAGGTTGTTGCGGCTGCACCACAGGACCAGCTGCTCAAGCTCCCATCAGTCGGCTGACTCGTCATCGTCTGAGATGAGACCAATGACCGTTGTGTTATCTGCAAACTTTAGGAGCTTGACAGAGGGGTCCTTCGAGATGCAGTCATTGGTGTAGAGTGAAAACAGCAGAGGGGAGAGCACACATCCCTGGGGGGCAACTGTGCTTATTGTCTGGGTGCTGGATGTGGTTTTCCCCGGCCTCACCTGCTGCTTCCTGTCTGTCAGAAAGCTAGTAATCCACTGACAGGTGGGGGCAGGCACAGTGAGCTGGGTCAGTTTGGAGTGGAGGAT